GCAGGCTTTTGCAATCTTACAAGGAAGACACGGCTAGTGGTTTCGTCAGCTTTTTTCAAAATGCAAAAGTCCCGACGATCCTTCAAAAACGGCAACATTTTTTTTTGACACAAAAATAATATTTGAAAAAACGCACGTCTATCCACTTGCAATATTACACCCTCAACTAGTTCTCTGAATTACATGAAATCAAAAACAAGTTCAAACGTGTATCCAATGATCCAAAGAGGACAAAATCTAAAGGGACTGCCAAATGGCAGCTACTGGAAGAAAACTTTTAAAAAAATTTATTGACGCTGCCAGTACTCGGAGATGGGGTATACTAAGCACATAAGCAGAAAGACAAATGAATGGCTAGAAAGCTGTAGACAAATTTCGGGGAAAAGAAATGCTTTGGCTCAGAAATTTTCTTATCTTCCGATACGGAGCAAAAATTTCACTTTTTTTTTTTCAAAATCCGGTTACAAAGCAACAGTCATAAACTGGCATATAAAAATGTTATACTTTTAACGAGAAAACGGACTGGATAGTAATACTTCTTTTTTTCCGCCTAACTGCTGCGTTCCATGCACGATAAAGCAATTTGACCACTGCAACAATCATTTCAACAACGGTGATGATTGAAACGCCAAGAAACAGGCCGAACTGTCCACCAATTTGTGAAATGAAACCAGGCAACGTTGTCCGTACCACTTCTTCGTAAAGTTCATACTACAAGAAAAAAAGTCACCGGCTTAGGAACAAAAATCGAAGCCTGTACAGCTTACATTTCAGGAACTAAGAAAATTCGCTGGATAAGAAAAACATGTTGAAATGTTCCGGAAATTATCACCTGACTCGCCCAGATGATTTAACTACGAATCCCCCACACGACATACACTGCTATGCCAGGTCCGTCCATTCTGAACTGCACGTTTCTACTTCATAACTCTTACCTCTATCAAGCGCGTATGCTATCCCTCTGGAGGCTATTCAAGTTGAATTATCTCTTCATTAGTGCTGATAGGCTAATTTTCCCAGCTATCAGCAAAACAAGTAATACGTCAGTGCTGCTGGATTTTATTTTCTTTCATAGCCACAGCATCTCGCCGCCGCTTTTCGGCAGATTTTGATTGTCCATGACGCTCTAGTAACCTTGGCTCTTTCATTCCACTCACCAGAACTCATTCATTCCACTCGCCAGAGCTCAGTGGCTTGCTTCTCTGCTTTTCAGTGCCTGTTACATTTCACATCGTATTTTAAATGCGGCAGGTTAGAAGAGGCTTCCCAGAAGTTCGTACTTTGCTCTTTATTATTTATAAGAAAAAAAGTGCTCTTCATTTTGGACATCAATCCTTTTCATTGTTTCCTTCTCCAACAATGCTGTGGAGATCTTGAATTCAGTGGTCAGGATCAAATGAATTGTTTTGAGGTCCTAGGACTGAAAATTTAGCAAGAGATTCAACATTAAATTTGAAAAATGATCCTTTACTTGCAGTTCAAAATAGGATGCTTCAATGAGGAATTTTGTAGGATCATTAGGGGTCTTCAGTATTGGCGATCCATACTTCTGCATGACGAGATCAGAGCGACTGCATGCTGGCTGGCACTGAAAAAATGAAAGAAAAAGAAACTCAGGGTATTTGTCTAAATCCTTCTTAATATTTCCGATGGCATCAGTTAGGTGAAAATTGCTCCGCAGTGGACTTGTCAGAATATGAAGATTATTCCCGCCAGGCACCAACAACACTCTTTTAAAATAATAGAAATTATCACAATGTGTTTGAAAATTCAGCGGAATCAAGCAGCTAGCGTAGAGCGCTGTATTGCAAAAACGAGTAGATTTTCAAAATTCAGCCGCTTAAAAAATTGTGGTGCAAAGAGAAGATAGCTTTTCTTTGTTTCATCGAAAATGGGCGAAAGGTGATTTTTTATCCTCTTATTAAATAGGGTTCTTTTTAATAACAGGGGACCAAATTACCTTCCATTCTTTTTTCTCAATTCTGAATTGGTATTATGTCAAGAATAGGGAATGAAAATTACGCTTCTATTCTCCCCAAAATCTGAAAATGCGCTGTGTTCCCAGAAAAGAAAAGCAATTTTTTTTTCGCTTTCTGGAAAACCAAAATAATCGGTTTGCGCACAGACAGAGGATGCAAAATTTAGTGAATAAAACGGCAAAATTATCAAATACAGCACTGTGATGGAATATCTTTCACACTTGCCCTCATTTCCCTTCGGTCCTGAAACGCTATTGGTTTCTAGGAATGGTTTTTTCGAATAACGTAAATGCGTAATAAAAAACTCGCGCAAAAGGTGCGCAGGTAATCATAACAGTAGCTTTCGCAAAAATGAACGAAAACGCTTACTCGAAAGCTGTTCAGCGATGACATGATGGTGCGTATGTAATTTTTGACGATAACAGATGGATGACAGATGGGCATGTGCTTGGCGAAGCTCTGCAATGTCTTTTCTTTAAAAAAGACACAAAGAAAGCACTGGAAAAATGAATTATGTCTGGAAACAAACAAATGGAGCCTGGAATCAAACAGCTAGCACACCAATTTCCAGTACGACACCATGCTGGGAAAAATTTTCACAGCCCGATTTATTGAATTTTTGGGAAATTTGACTGTTGCCCAGGCAAATGCTGAAGTTTTGTAAACTCAAGAATCCAGTAATTTAGCCTACTAGTGCTTTTTGATACGTGCATGCATTTCGGGACGTGTGCCCAACTCGGCCAGCATATGCAAATGCAACAACCTGTAAATATGCTAGCGTACAGTTGTAT